CCGTTGTGCGACATGTCGGCCTCCGGGCTCTTGCTGGAAATATGCAGGGCCCGGTCACACGGGCATGACCTGCCTCCAGAGCCTGAATGAGCAGGCCAGGATCAAGTGTACCCGCCCAGGTCCTCGTTCAGTTTGAACTTTGAACACTAACTGCCTAATGTAGATGGTGCTGCTCTCGTTGGCCCGTTGGCCCATGGGCCACCTCACAGCTTCAGGTCTGGCATGTAGGTCATGGTCACACAGCATCAACCTGCTGTAACTGTCTGGGTTGAGGCATAGACTCAGAGCGAAGGACTCGTCGGGAGTCAAAACCGGCAAATGATTCCCAACAGGCGCATGCCTTTCAACAGCTTCTTGGGCCTTCTGCTATGGCCCTTTCTGTGGTCACATTGGCCTGTACTCCGGCCTAGGCGCATGTTTGCAGGCCCGCCTTTACTCAGGGCGGGCAATGCCTTTTCCAACACTGCTGAGGGTGTAAAATCCTCACATACCTTCCCCTTTAGCTTCGAAAGTCCCATGAGGAGCATTTAATTCCTTCGTCAGCGTGAAGTCCCCACCTTCTCTGGGATATATGTGATGTTCGTAGTAAACTTGGAGAAGCAAGACTTGTCCTTGATGTCCCCAATCATGGTTGGGGGCAGCATATGTCCTTTGGTGGTAAACAATCGGATTTTGGTGATTGATGCAGGTCTACATGCAATGAATACGGGATAGATGCGTAGGTGATCAGGGATTTTGATGATGTTGGGGCGACTATCCAAATCATTCCACACTAGACCTATGGCTTCCCAATGACTAAAGTACTGCGGCGTTAGAGATGTCAGTTCCCTGTCATAACCTTACTTGGACTCATTCCCCTACTTGAAGTGTGGGCTGTCGACTATACTCTGTTTCATATGCAACTATGGCATCTTGAGATTTATGTATATGTTTGACAACTTGCTACAGCCGCTTATCAGCAACCTCTAAGCTGCAATGGGCTGCTGTTGATTGGTTTTCAGGTAGGAGAAAGTCTATCATTGATCTAGGCTTCTGGCTCAACTGCAATGGCTGGGATTTATACCGGATGCTGGCACCCTGGCTCTTAGTACTGCACCACTCAGTCCATCTGCTCCTCTTGGCCAATCGCTTCAGGATGTATCTGGCAGTTGGCGTCCCATCTGTCTAGCCGCTTCCTTCGACAGTTCGCTTGTGATATCTCTATCGTTGACTATGCACTTAGGCTGGCCAAAGATGCGTACCTGCTCGACCATAATTAATTTAGTCCGCACGGTCTCAGGGATGACGACTAACCTAGCTTACTTTGAGAACCAGTCCACTATGTAAAACATCTTGCTCTTGTCAATCTTGCTGGTTTCAAGTATATATGAGAGCTAGACCAGTGGGGAAAGAGAAGGTTTTGTCTAACACAGAGGGCAACCGTAGTCATTAAAGTAGGTTCGCTGAAATCTCCTTATCTGAAGTAACGACCATTTCGTCAAAATGGACATCTTTTATTTTTTGAAAGAAATTGAAACCGAGTTTTTTGGCCGAAAACTCGGCAAAATTTGCTGTTTCTGAGGGTCCGGCGTTTGTAAAACGCTGGACCCCCTGGCTGCCTGGATGTCCCTAGTCTCAAGCTAGGTCCTGTACAGCCAGGGGGTCCAGCGTTTTACAAATGCTGGACCCTCAGGAACAGCAAATCTTGCCGAGTTTTCGGCCAAAAAACTCGGTTTCAATTTCGTTCAAAAAATAAAAGATGTCCATTTTGACGAAATGGCAGTTAAGTGTCCGGTCACACCATAATATTATTCTAAAAATAAACTACACAAAATCATTTTTTGTATTCTTTTTACTAAAAAATAATATTATTAAATTTTATATTTTTTATTTTCTTATCCTCGGTGTCCACATCGCCATTTCTTAAATATTGATAAATGCGATAATTTATAGGGGAACATATATGGCCCTATCCATCCCTCCCTTGTTTCTTTTGCCGATCGTCATCCTATAACACAAGAGCTATCCTATATGCAAGGAAAATGAGCGATAGCGGATTCCAGAAACTACGCAGCATCATACACATGAAACCAGATAGTCTTGACCTCGAACCAAAAGCAGAATTGCAACTTGAGTTCCACCAAATAAGAGCACAGCAAAAGCTCATAAGTGACAATGTTGGAATTGTTACGATCCTGGCCAATTTCGAAGTATGCATTCGACAGAAAGTACAATGCCATCCAATTGCAAAAAGAAATGAGTGAACTTGAGAGGAGAGAGAGAGAAAGAAGAAGAAGAAGAAGTAAGAAAGAAGAAGAAGATGTACTCCAGCATAGACCAATGACAAGGCTCTTCTTCTTCGCCAACCAATCTCCTCCTCCTTATCTCCTCCCCTCTTATTCAAATAATAAATACCAATGATAATGTTGAATGACTGAACCAGAATCAATGTCCTAATCCCACTTCTACTGCAGGCACAACATGAGGTCCACCATAGCCATGGCCACCCTTCCTCTTCCTCTACATACAGGCCGAGGCTATGGCGGAGTACTGAGGGCTCTCCCTCCTATCCAAAGGACAACCCAAAGCAGCTATGTCGCTGCCCCTTCTGTCCCAAGGTCAACACCATGCAGCTATACCGCTGCCCACTCAACCGCCATGCCTGACTTTGTCGAGCTTCCTTGATGCGGCACTACCCCCACTGGGGCCTTCCAGATGCAGCGCCTAACAAGGTGATGAAGATGGTGTCTACCATAGCCGGGTAAGTACCTCACCACTCTCCTCCTTGGTCCCCTTCTCCCTCCTCCTCCTACCGGTAGAGCTCCACCATAGCTAAGGTGGAAGCTCCCGGCTTCTTCCTCCCAGCAGCGCTGTAGTACCCAGCGCCCCTCCAGCCAGCGCTCCAGCAGCGTGTCGCCAAACTTGCACACTGAAGAATGAGGCCGAGCTCTTGCCTCGGCCTCTTGATATAGCGGCCTGCTTGCCTCCTGGGCGGTGACTTCCAGGCCGCTCGGCCTCCCAAGCAACCGGTACCTCCTCCCTTTCAGAGGGAAACATCATTGCAGACTCCGATATTGCCCGTACAGGCTCTAGACTCAGACTGGATGGACTGGTACCGGCCTAGACCTAGCCTACCGCTACTGGGTCTCTAAAAATGCCAACTTTGTCTTCTTCTGCTCGGCCTCGAGTACCCGACACATCTACTGCTACTGGGTGCGGTACCGGCCTACCTGCTACTTGAGTGTTTTTCCGCTGCTCTAAGCACCGCGGGCCCCTGGCTCCGCTACTTGAGTGTTTTCCCTGCTGCAACCCTCAATGCCATGACCACAGGTAAGTACCGGCCCTACGGGCTACCAAACAAGCAAGTACCCTTGCGGGTCACACACACACTCATGCCAACAAGCACTCAGACAGGCACGCAAGTCAACAAGCTTGCACACATACAGACTTAGAAAACACAGCAGAATGCAGGAATCTCAGCAAGGCATCCATTCCATCGACAAAACTTCAGAAATCAGCAGTGTTTTCAGTCTGTGTTATGGCGGGTCATTACACTACCCCCCCCTCAAGAGCAAGGTCCCTTCCAGTGAGTAACTCAATCAGAGTCCTTGCATAATGCATCATAAGCATAAATTGCAAAGAGAGATCGGGTATGTTCCGTAGGAGTGAGGGTAGCAGTGAATTTAGGCTGTTGTTCGGAACTAATCAATCGTTCATGTGCGTTGACGACTCGCGGGGCACTCTACAACAAATCTTTCTTAGCAATCCAGTAAAGTCATTCAATGGATGATATAGGAAGTGGACTTTGTATTGTCTGTTTCTCCCCTTCCCACTGCGCTCGACAATTTTGTCAATCTCGTGACCACCACTGATTGCACGAGGAATCATTGATTCTCGATACGGAAGAGTTTCGGGTGGCTCGTACGGAAAAGACTTCGACGCGTGAAAGACTGGGTACGTGCGCAAATGAGGAGGCACGTTGATCGTGTAAGAAGGACCAAATGAATCATTCCCAACTCGGTTCAGCACCTCCCACGGACCGTAGTACTGAGGAAGAAGTTTTCGTGATACACCTTCTTTTTCAGAAAACTCAGACATCTTGACCCAGACATAACTTCCCACTGTGAAAGGATCAGGCTGGCGCTTTTTGTTTGCATGCTTAATCATGGCACTGCGTCGCGTTTCCATGGCTGCGACAATAACTTTGAGCAAACGATCATACTTAGCGCTGTAGCCTGGCCATGCTTAATCATGGCACTGCGTCGCGTTTCCTTGGCTGCGACAATAACTTTGAGCAAACGATCATACTTAGCGCTGTAGCCTGGCTGGCCAGGTGTCAGTCCGGGTGGCTGTTCAGGGAACAGATAAGATAGGGGATTGCGGATTTTCCACCCAAGGTGCAGCCGGTTAGGTGTCATCCCGGTGGAAGAGTGTATGGAGTTGTTGTACAACCCTTGCACAATCAACAATTCCTCATCCCAAGAGTTCTGACCGGGCACAATTAGAGCTTGGAGAAGTTGGATCACAGTCTGGTTGATCTCCTCGACCAGTCCATTGGCTTCGGGATGTCGACCATATGTCATCTTGAGCTTGATGCCATAGATCTGGGAGGTGAAGTCCTTCCAATCTGCACTTATGAACCTAGTGTCCCGGTCACTCACAAAAGTTTTCGGGGTCCATACTGCAAAATGTACTTCTTGTGAAACTCTTTGATCACCAGATCAGTTGGGGCGTGAGGTGGTAATGGGATCAAGTTCAGAAATTTTGAAAAGCGGTCAGTCACCATTACTTGCGAATATCCATTCCTACTCTTCTTCCCCATGTCCGTGAAGTCGATGGAAAGAGACTCACCCGGGCCAACCGGAATAGGAAGAGGATGCAGCAGCCCATAGGGCTTCTGCCGAGACGGTTTGATGCGTTGACAGACTTCACCCTCAACCACAAACTTTCATGCCATTCCTTTCATTCCAGGCCATACAAACTTTTGCAGCAGACTTCTGTATGTTTTCTCAAAACTGAAGTGTTCACTCCGGCCATGAGCCAAGTCCAAGAAGTGAGTAAGGATCGGTTCATGGTTGGGTACACACAGTCGGTCGTGCTTCCCGTAACGTCGGAAAAGTAAGCCCTTACATTCGTGGAAATCAGGTTGACTGCTAGGGTCAGCTCGAATCTGCTCGAGGATGGGACTGAGTTCCGGGTCCTTGGAAGTATGCTCAATGATGTAGCAGTACCCCTACGGCCCGGCAGTGGGACCGGACCAGTTTCAGGCCGTCGGCCTGACCCTGGTCCGGTACCAAGTTGTTTCCCGTACCTGGACCTAGGCCGGTATATCACTTCGGCCTAGGCCCAGGTCCGGCGGTCAGTTGGTTGATTCATTCTTGATTCGTTCGTTCATTGATCTGGACTGGACTTTCACTCAGTTGCTGCTTCTCGTGTGTGTCCATCTCCTCTCTCTCTCTCTCTCGCCATCTCCATCTCCGCACGTGCCTTCCGCACGTGCGTCACAAATGAGTTCCTCCTTCAAATTCTTACGGAGATCATAGGAACCCACAAGGCAAGTCATGTACTCAGGATGGCGAGACAAAGCATCCGCAATGCGATTGTAACAACCTTTCTTGTGCTTAAGTTCAAAATCATACACATCAATCTCATGCAGCCAGCGGGTCAATGTGGTTGATGGATTAATCTGTCTGAATCCATTTCAAAGTCTCGTGATCTGAGAACACTTTGAAATGACGACCCAAGAGGTAGTGTTTCCAATGATCTAGTGTCTCTTTCAAGGCGTAGAGTTCTCGCATGTAAGTGGAGGCAGCTACCTTGTGACTGGGCATGCGTTTGCTGTAATATTCAAGCGGACGTAAGCCATCGCCGTCATCTTGCTGCAGCACTGCACCAATCCCATACAAGCTTGGATCCGTAGTTACTACGAATGTAAGTTTGGGATCTGCAATGCGGAGCACCGGATGACTCATGGAAGCCTCCTTCAACGCTTGGAAGGCTGTTGTGCATTCCCCATCCCATGTGTAAGACACATTCTTACTTGTCAACTTGGACAGCGGATGGGCGATGATAGAGAATTTGGGTACAAACTTACGGTAGTATGACACAAGACCAAGAAAAAAATGCAACTTGCGGACATTGGCCGGTTGAGGCCAGTTGCGGATGACCTCAACTTTGGTTGCCTCGGGCTCTAGGCCTGCAGCAGACAATCGATGTCCAAGGTAGATGATGCTGTCCCTCCCAAATTCAGATTTCTCCAAGTTGAGATGAAGTTGCGCATCCTTGAGGATCTGTAACACTTCCTCAAGGTGTCTCATGTGTTCCTCCATCGACTTGCTGAAGATTAGTATATCATCCAGATAAACAACAACAAATCGATTGATCTGATTGCGAAACACCTTGTCCATGAGACTTTGAAAGGTGGCTGGTGCATTCGTGAGGCTGAAGGGCATAACGGTAAACTCGTACAACCCATCGCGAGTTTTGAATGCAGTTTTATGCTGGTCTGCAAGGTCGACTTCAATCTGGTGGTAGCCAGACTTGAGATCGATCTTGTTGAAGACCTTGCACCCACCTGCAGCATCAAGCAGATGATCAATACGCGACAAAGGATATGCATTCTTTCTTGTTATTCTATTCAGTCCGCAGTAATCGATACACATCCGTAGTTTGCCTCCTTTCTTCGAGACAAACAGAACCGGTGCACCGAATTCGGATTCGCTTGGCTTGATCCATCCCTTCCCAATCATGTCATCGATCTGTCTTCGCAACTCCTCCAATTTGCCTGAGCCCATTCGATAGACACAACCTTTTGGAGGAGTGCTACCTTCTATCAACTCGATCTTGTGTCGGGCCGGACGCACGGGAACTCCATGCGGTTTGGCCAAGACTTCAAGAAATCGGCCGAGAAGGTTGCGGATCTGGAGGTGGATCATCACTTTCAGGTGCAAGCATACCGGATTGCATAGGTGCAACCAAAACAACAGAATTGGAAGCAGAGTCGTTTGGACTAGAAGTAGATTTAGTAGAGGTAGAAGTAGTTGCATTAGAGGTAGAAACGACATGCAAAGTAGAATCATTATGTACAACAAAAATAAAAGGTACGTGAGCAGGCCTAACAAAGGCTATATACATTTGCTCATCAACTTTGCGCCTGCGCCATTTTTTGGAGAATTGCATTGCGTTGAGAAAAGTGACTTGGGACTTGTACGTCTCATCTAAGAGGACAAGGCGCTCGATTCCCATGACATCTTTGACCATGAATTGTGAATCCTTCCACATGGTTCTTTCACATTGGGCCTGCAAGCAGCCCAAGCCAATAACCGCGTCGAAGAGACATTTATCAAGGACATAAAAGTTCAACTCATGCGTGATTGTGCGATCTGCGTCAAAGGTAGTGCGCACACCTTTGACTGCATGCGTAGATGTGACAACCTCTTGGTTGCCCACTTGGGTCCGACTAGGATTCTGCAAAGTCACTTGCTTCATTCCCAAGCATGCCTTACGGATGTCGTGCGGTGAGAAGTAGTTAGCGGTTGCACCACAATCAGCCAACGCACGGATGTAACGGCCGTTAATGCAGAGTTTGAAGAAGATCAACTTCGTTTTCCCTTGCGCGCGTTCTTGCTTCATGTGAGCCCAACGCGACAAGAGAGCATGAAAGTCGATTTCTTTTGACTCCACCCAAGGCTCCTTGTATAGGATGTGTATTTTCTCGGCCTTGGAATCAACATCAGATGGGGTCTCAGGAGAGGTTTGATGAGTGGGATCAGAATCCAGTGAAGGATCTGCACTTACATATTCAACCTCTCCGTCTGGAGAGTGTGCTGATGATGTCTCTACCCTTGTTGCTGGTTTCCCTGCTGCAGTTTGAAACAATGTTGGACTGAGTGTCCCGGTTTGGTGCCATGCAGGCAAACCCCTTTCTTCACCCTGTGTTTCCACTCACTTTCACATATACGGAGATCTACCCATGGTTTTGTGGCAGGATCTTCCGGTTTGGGTGGAATCTTCGCTCGCTTGGGAAAAAGAATGGTGTTAGTGTTGTTCTTCACTGTGGTCTTGGGTCCCTTACTTTTGAAGGCAGTCTTCTTGAAGGCGTCCATGGATTCTTCGTCATTTACATACTCAGACTCATGAGTTGACGAAGAGCAAGATGCCTCGCAGCCGTGCTCTTAATCGTCATCAAGAGAAGGATCCTCTGCGAAGGTCTCCTCGTTATCCTCAAGTAGATCGTGTGCTGAAAAACGGTTGCTGCCTGGAAACCGTTTGCGACCGGTGGCCTTTTTGCCACCCGATCCACCCGGGAGGTCTTGTGCCTCCAGCTTGACTAAGTCCCGTATGAGGGTAAGCCAATCTGTATACGCTATGAGTCCAAGCCCCAGGCGATGTGTTATAGTAGAGGGGACCGTACCTTAATCACATCCAAGCAAGACTGCGCAATCATCTTCAGATCCGGAGTAACAAAGAGTTTACTAACATACTGCTGCAACCTATGCATGGTGCCGATCCACTTGTTGTGCTTGAGCTTGTCAAGCTTAAGTCTAGCTTTGGCTGCAGCATGTGATCAACATATTGTTTGATCAAGAGTTCCTCGAGTGCGGCTATAGGCGTAGCTTTCAGCCATTTGTTGAAGCTTATTCTTTTATAGCCTGACTGTACAGCTTGGACTTCTAAGAAGCCTCTTACGGTGGGTTCCACATTGGTCCCTAGGACTGACGACTGAGTCACTGGGGTGTCCCCAACACATCAAAGTAGGATCGCATGGAGCTGATCCAAGATTCGATGTCGTCCTTCCCGCCATACTTAGATGGAATTTGTGCCGCCTTCCTGTCCACGTAGGGAAAGCTGCAGCTAGGACCAGCAGTAGCCTAGCCGGACTCAGCTCCATGAAGACACAGCAAATCAAATTCAAAGTGTACTACGTAAATGCAGGGGAGAATTGAGTGGTGTCCAAGGTGCGAGTCAGGCGGCGGATCGTGCGGTAAAGTTTGATAAAATGTCTCAGCTGAGATCCCCTCAGCAGTGAGTGTCCTGGTCCGAAAGCATGAACTCCGAGTCCCAATCAGATAGAGCGAGGTAACTGACGTCAACAGATTTGGGCCTGAGGGGCCCTTCTTGTTTGGGCCCGGTCCCACTGAGTTTCGAATGGTCCCAGTGGAATCAGAAGCGGGTCCCAACCAACAAAAGTTCCACAAAGACCTACTTTCTGCCCCTACTGAATTGAAAAATGAAATTTAGCCCCAGAAAGAACCTACAGACTACAGCCGTTCAAAATGAAATAAACAAAGCACTGTAGAGAGATATAGCATAGTAAGCAAGATACTCCATTCATTCACTCGTCAGGTGAGTAAGCAGTTCACACACCTCACACACAATCAAGACTATGGAGGATGGAAGAAGAACCCAGAAAACCCCAACAGGCAGTCAATTCCATGCACACACACATTGGCACCCTGGCGGCACGACACTTACCTGAGTGGCCGGGCTCTTGAGATGAAATAACTCACCCCTCTCTCACATAGTCCTCTTGACCCAATTAGCATCCTCTACACTAGTGTCCTATCATCTAGGAGGGTCAACATCTACCCCGAAGTACAAAGCCAGATCCCCCGTCGATCTTGAAGATCAAAGCAGCAACTTGCAGTCCGTAGGTGCAGATCTGGCTGCCACCCTCAAGCTCGCCTAAGTTGAGGGGAACCCGAAAGTCACTCCTTGTCTTCCTTGAAGTCCAGATTCAAGTTGTAGGTGCCCTTCACTGCCGCCTCTCTCAAGTTGCATCACGAAGTCCCACCTTGTGTCTCGCCACCACAAACATGCACTCAAGCAACCTGGTCGGGCCTAGTGTCGACCCTACACGGCCCTGCCAGGTGGGAGCAGCTTCCCTTCACCACGCTGCCCCACTTAGCCCTAACTTCCAGCCCTAACCCTAAGTGGTTAGCCCTTACCACTAGGGTTAGGGTTATGGCAGCAAAGTCAACTCTCGCCAGCAAGTAGAATCCGCTCCGATACCAATGTTACGATTCTGGCCAATTTCGAAGTATGCATTCGTCAGAAAGTACAATGCCATCCAATTGCAAAAAGAAATGAATGAACTTGAGAGGAGAGAGAGGGAAAGAAGAAGAAGAAGAAGTAAGAAAGAAGAAGAAGAAGAAGTAAGAAAGAAGAAGATGATGTACTCCATCATAGACCAATGACAAGGCTCTTCTTCTTCGCCAACCAATCTCCTCCTCCTTATCTCCTCCCCTCTTATTCAAACAAAAAATAACAATGATAATGTTTAATGACTGTGCAATGACTTGCTGATTTTGACTGCCGAGACTGACTGCGAGGCTGTACAGTAACAGCGGTAGGGTAGATTAGTAATTTTGTTTGGCTGAGGGCTAACCGAGAGACCTACGTGTACGGAAAATTCGCGAGGGACATATCTGCAAATATGGGAAATATAGGCTCAACACTAACTCGAATTTCCTACAACTACCCCCATTGCGTCTAGCAGGCCCGGGCTACCCCTAGGACGGACAGGCCCGAAGGGCCTACACCGATAGACGGTCCTATAGCCTATAGCCGGGTAGGGAGAGGCCGAGAGGCCGAAATTGGAACGGTACCGGCCGGTCCAGTCAGTCGGGTCTAGGTCTAGGTTAGGGTAGTGTAGATCTATTAATAGTTTAGGAAAAACGATTCGGGACTTTTGGCTGTTCATTCTCGTGAAGCAACGTTTGGAGAAGCCAAGCAAGTTGATGGTGGTGATTGTCCACGGGCGGCATCCTGAGACCCTTGCCGTGGACGGCAGCCATAGCCGGCCTTCAGAAGGTTGCCAAAGCTGGGGCATCCTCAGCGCATCTACCCCTGAGGGTATCTGCGCCTGACAGGGCTATATCGAGGATCTTCACTGAGTATTTGTGGGTGGCGGCAGCCATAGCTGCCTGTTTCTTCGCCAGAGTTGTTCACCGACACTGAAGACTTCAGCGTAGGATCTGTTCCTCATCTGGGTGGTTGGCGCTGGCCTCTGGGAGGCCATTTCAGTGTGGCGCTACTGATTGGGTGTAGGGTAGAGAGTGGAGTGTGGGGATCTGAAAGTGGCGAGATACTGAAACAAACTCTGTGACGATATTTGGTTTTAATTGGCTCATCATCAGAGTGAATTCCAATTGTTATCCTCGCAGGTGTCTTCCTGTGATTGGTTGTTGGGAGTCTGTGAGAGAGTGAGAAACCCAGGGTGTTTTCTCCCCATCTGTGCATGGTTGAACTTTCGCTGTCTACTCTGATCTGCTCTGTGTACAGTTTGGACTCTGTCTCCTCTCCCCCTTCTCTTATGCATGTATGGGCGTGTATGAGACTGTCTGTGTGTGAGTGGCGGTAAAAGTCGTTAGACAACCAAGTTCATAACAGTTGCTATCAGAGCGGGATTGGAATTGGAGCACTTAGGGTTGAGTGCAACTGAGGCATCTTCTTGATCTGGCGATCTACTGGCGAGAAGCTTCATGGCGATTCATCTTCTCCAATACTGAGACAGCAGGGAAGAAGATTTCAAGCGGTGAATTCAGGAGTTCAGTGGTTGTACTGAACAAGCGCACTGAGCCTGTCAGGGCGCTTGCAAGGAAGTGGCGAGAACAGGGCTAATTCGCCATAGCCAACCCTGAGGGCAGTATTGCGAATTGCCTCAGAGTGGCGAATTGCCCCTGAGGACTTCATAATCCTTCGAGCGGCTTCATCCCTGAGTAGGACTGAGGGAGATTGACAGCCTGTGTCAATCTCAGGGGAAATTAACCCCATCTGAGGCTATTTATAGCATCAGCGACTGTAGGGTCCTGTGGCGAGATAATTTCTTGTTGGCACTCTGGGCGCCACAGGGTCAGATGCGGTGTATCTGACTAAAGGGGTTGTAGCGTATCAGGATCCTGAAGAAGATCAACAAGTTTGGAGAGATTCTGTGCATGGAAGACAGAGGAGGAAGTCCTGGAAGAAATTGGCGAGATGAGGGTTTCAGCCTGCCATAGCCAGATCTTCATCAAGCTCTGCAAGGAACTCTGAAAGTGAGTCCGTTCCATGCACATCCCTGTATAGCGATTCAGATAGGGTTAGAATAATTAGTATCGATGGTCTATCTGTCTGTCAGTGACTGGAATTGAAAATCGCAGACTGCAGGACAACCATAGCCATCACTCTCCTACCTCCTTCTGCTCGTTTCTTACCCTCTGTTGACTCTTTTCCATCCAAAGTTGTTCTGTGACTGCCTGACTATATTGCGCTTGATGTTGGATGCTCAGACTGTGAATTCTGTATTGGAATAGTAGAGATACTGCGAATTGTAGTTTTGCGCTGAGTCTAATTATAGCTTGTGCTAACTAAGGTCAGTCACAACTTCAATTCTGTCCGTCAGAATTCAATTCTGTCAGTTGTCAGTCAATTGCAATTCAAAAATTGTCGGTAGTGCAGAAGCGCTTAATTGGATATCTAGTATTTCACTAGATACAGTGAATACTATACTTCGCAATACCCTAGGGTATGGCTGCCAGAGTCACCAGGGCCGAAATGGGAGTCTGGACTAGAATTTAAGGTCCCTGACTGAATCGCTCTGTTGGTTTGATCATTCTTGTCTGTACTTGCCATCTTCTTTCATTCTCACTGACTACTCTTGTTTTCTAGTGGGCGCTGGAAATCTAGGGTATCTCTGGAACAACTGAAGTGGTGTATACTAACTACAGTGTGGTGCAGGGTCAGTAAAAGGAAATCGTGTGATTGATTTTACTGGACTAACCGTCTGTCTGACCTCTGACCCCAGAGAAACTGTTCCAACCTAAATCGCTTGTTGCCTGTTCACCAACCTGACTTCTGTGTATGAAATAACAGCGATTTCCGAGTGTCTGTAGGAATCTGTATATTGCTGCATACTCTCTGCTGTCTGTCTGTTTTGTGAGTTTTTTGAAGAGGGAAAATGGCGAACGAGGAGGCTCAGCAGCAGCTACAGGTGGAAGTAGTAATGAAGGTAGAAGGTCAACAACCTTCGACCTCCACCCCTACTGCACCTCTGACTGCTACTCAGCAGAAAAAAAAGGAATTGCAGGATAGGCTGCAGCAGCAGCAGGCGCTGCTAGCAGAGCTTGAGAGACAGGAGGCGGCTGAGCTAGAGGCTGCAACAGATACTTATCGCAGGGATTACCTGTTGGAGCAGCTAACCAAGGTCCTGACAGATGATCGCTGTTCCCAAGTGAATAAGAACCTGGCGGAGTGGGCCATTCTGGAACACAAAGCCACTAGTTCTTATTTCACTAACTGGGATGATCGCATGGACCGTTTAGAGCGTCGGGTTGACGATCTGGCAGCTCAGCAGTCAAGGACACTGGATGCAATTCAGTCCTTAACTGCTCAGCTGACAACAACCAAGATGATCGCTCCTCAGTCCCCTGTATGCAAACCTAAACCTCCTCCTTCCTCTCCATCCTTTACTCCCAGTTTACGTCATTCTTGCCCCTCACCACCTCCTTCCCAAAAGACCACAGCCAAACCCACTTTTGCAGCTGTTGTTGCAGGGGATCAGAGAGGTCCCAAGATCCATGCCCCCAACAAGTTCAGAGGGGATGACGCCAAGACTGATGTTGGGGACTGGGCTGCAAGGACCATGGCTTACTTGAGGGGATTCATATGCCCATAATAGACAAAAGTGGCTACGGTTCTGGGACTGCTGGAGGGGCCTGCTCAAAAGTGGGCTACCTCTACCTCCAGCGGTCTGCAGAAATCAATGGAGGATTGGGCTTTGGGATTGGGGGTGGACAACCTTCTGCAGGCCCTGGAAGAACGCTTTGCAGATAAGGAGCGGGCCCACAAAGCTGCGGACAGGATTGCTCGCCTGGGACAACAACGTTATAGCGGTTCCCTGCAATCGTTGTTTGCAGAGTTCGAGCAACTAACTTCCACCCCTGGGTTGGTGATGTCGGCAGATGACTTACTAACCAACTTTTGCAGGGCAGCGCCTGAGAAGTTTTATGTTGCTTTGTACAGCGCAGGGCATAAGGATTGGAGATCCTTTGGCCATGCAACCCTGGACATGGAGGCAAAACTTCATGTCCAGGCCCCCTCCTCTGACAGGAGGAAAGGAGCTTTCCCTCGTGGTGGTAGAAAGGGAAAAGCGGCCTTTGCACATGCAGGGTCTGCATCAGCCTCTGATTTAGATTCCAAGCCTGATACACCATTAGCCGGGACTGCACCAGCCGCTGATGCTGATGTTGCAGCGGCCCTGACTCAGGCTGTTTTGGGAGTTCTGCAGCAGCAGAAGAAATTTTTCCCCACCACAGCCTCAGCCAGTTCCAAGGGGAAGGATAAGGGACGTCGTCCTTCTACCTCTGCCCAACGCCCAAATCTGCCAAGAGACGTCTGAATGCCATCTGACCCACTCAATCCCTCCACTCTCCCCTGGCATGACCTCAAGATCCAGGAGGGAGTGTGGAGAAGAAGAAAGGAAAGATGGGGTCTGCCTGAGATGTGAGGGACAACACATTCTAAAGGACTGCCCTTACATGCTAGGCCCGGGTCAGTCAAAAAACTGAAGCAGACCCTGGGGATTGCAGTTCCCCCCAGTGCTGCACCTTCATCTGCTAAGGTAGGTGAATCTGCAGCTGCTTCAGTTGGAGACAGAGTCTATAAGTTTGGGGACGGCGCGGGCAGCATCCTTCTGCTATGAGGATCCCGGATCAGGACCTGGAGCAAGATGAGCTTCAATCACTTGCTGCTTTCTTCCTTCATCTGAGGGAACAAAAGAAAGGCAAGTCTGATCTCATCCTACTTCGGCACCTGATCAACAACATCAGTATCAAGGGGCTGTTGGATTGTGGAGCCACCCGGAACTTCATGTCTCCCAGTGCTGTCAAGAAATTGCATCTGGGCATGAAAGTTCAGCAGTTGCAGCAACAGCTGCTGGTCCACTGTTCTCACTATCAGGGAGAAGGCCAGGGGTATCCCTATTACCTTCGACAGTGATGGAGAAGTCAGACACAGTTTGAACTTCTACATATTCCCTGATTTACCCTTTGATCTGGTGTTCTCGATGCAGTGGCTAAGGGCATTCAACCCTAGGATCGACTGGCAGATCCCTAAGGTTGAGCTTCCCAATGGACAGGGGGTGTACCAGACTTGCAGAATTGCAACTGAACACCACCCTAAAACTAGCTGCTATTGTCTGAGGGCGAGGGAATTCTATTCTCTCTTGCGCCAGTATGACCATGAACGTCTGTTTTTAGCTCTGGTCAAGCAAACAGACGCTGCACCTGTTTCTTGTCCTCCTGAGATACAGCAGGTTGTGGACCAATATGCGGATCCGATGCAGGAGCCCTTTGGACTACCCAACCGGCCAACCAAGCATCACATCGAGCTGCTACCTGGAGCGGTCCCTCCAAAGGGCCGCATCTACAGGATGTCCCTTGCTGAGCTTGAGGAGCTCAGAAGTCAGCTAGAGACCCTGACCAGCAAAGGCTGGATACGGTCGAGCACATCTGAATTTGGCGCACCAGTGCTCTTCGTTTCGAAAGGGAATGGAGAATTCAGGATGTGCATAGACAACAGAGGTCTCAATAAGATCACTAGGAAAAGTACAGAGCCTCTTCCTAGGATCGATGACCTTCTGGCTATGGTGCAGGGCTGCACAGTGTTCAGCAAAGTCGACCTCAAATATGGTTACCACCAGATTGAGATGGCAGAGGAGGATGTCTACAAGATAACCTTCAAGCCCAGATATGGGATTTACGAATTTCTGGTCATGCCATTTGGACTTTGCAATGCCCTAGGTACCTTCCAGACTGAGATGCACCGCATCTTTAGGCCTTACCTGGACAAGTTCATGGTTGTCTACCTAGATGACATCCTGGTATTCAACCGAACTACTAGGGAACGTGCGGAGCACTTGGCTCTAGTCCTTCAGTCATTACGCGACAGCTAGTGTAAGATTAACAGAGAGAAGTCCTCCTTTGGAGTTCCCTCTATCATCTATCTAGGTCATGTAATCTCTGGAGATGGCCTGGCTCCTGAAGCAGCCAAGATAGCTGCTATTCAGGAGTGGCCACAGCCACAGACAGTGAGGGATGTCAGGTCCTTCATGGGTTTAGCCTCATACTACAGAAAGTTTGTCAGAAACTTTTTTGCAGTGGCTGCACCCCTGACCAACCTAACAAAGAAAGACACTCCTTTTCTTTGGTCCCTTCCCTGTCAGTTGGCCTTCACACGACTCAAGAAGGCCTTGACTCGTGCACCAGTGCTGAAGTTGCCTGACCCCACTTTGCCATTCATCCTGACCACTGACGCTAGTCAGTATGGCATTGGGGCAGTTCTTCAGCAAGATGATGTGAATGTTCTACGGCCTATAGAGTTCATGAGTAAGAAGATCAAAACTCAGAAGCTTCAGGACTCTACCTAGGAGAAAGAGTTGTATGCTCTTGTCTGTGCCTTGAAACATTGGAAACACTTTCTCTTGGGAAGACACTTCAAGATCTTCTCTGATCACTCCACCTTACAGTGGATGAAGTCCCAGGGAGAGTTAAATGACAAGTTGGCACGTTACATTCAGTTCATCGACATGTTTGACTTTGAACTGAAACACAAGAAGTGTTGCTACAATAAGGTAGCAGATGCCCTCTCTTGTAGGCCTGAGTCTTTTGCGTTGATCTCCTCTACTCACTCCTTTGGAGAGGAGACCCGTCAGACCATTGCTCATCTTCTGCCTCAGGACCCGACTTATGGACCCATAGTCCGGAAGCTACAAGCGGATCCCAATTATGAACCAGGCTATGCCCTGAGTTCAGGCTTGCTGTATACCTACAGCAGAGGTGAGGAACACTTGTGCATTCCCCAGGATCAGCGGCTCAGGACACTGCTGATGTCAGAGTGTCATGATGCACGTGGACATTTTGGGTTCTTAAAGTCCTATGCAGCCCTGTCGCAACGCTTCTTCTGGAAGGAGATGCGGAATGATATCCTGCGATATGTAGAAACCTGTGAGCTTTGCCAGAGAAATAAAGTCCAGCATAGACCTCCTCTTGGACTACTCAAACCCTTACCCATACCTCATGGGCCTACTGAATCTGTGTCGATTGATTTCACAAATTTAGGCAAGACCACCCCCCGTGGCATGTGTCAGGTTATGGTCTGTGTGGACAGGTTCTCCAAATACGCAGAGTTCATCCCCTTGCCAGAGGTAGCTAGGGCCCCGGCTGTGAGAGCAGCCTTCTCAGAGAGGTGGGTCACTCACCATGGACCGTCCACTTCTATAGTCAGTGATAAAGACCCCCGATTTTGCAGCAATGAGTGGCAGTCCTACTGCAAGGACTACTTGCACTCACGATTGGACATGACTTCTGGTCATCATCCTGAAGCCAATGGTCACGCTGAAGTGATGAACCAAGTCTTATTCCAATTGCTGCGTCCTGTCATCTCTCCGGATCAGCAGGACTGGGATCTCCACTTGGCTCGAGCACAACTTGTTTATAACATGTCTCTCCACTCGTCGACTGGGTTCAGTCCATACCGGTTGCACTGGGGACGTGAACCACGGCAACCTCTCGATGGTATCATTGATAAGGCTAAGTCTGACCTGACACCAGGCACCGCAAAGTTTGCCAGACGCTATCGCATAGATGTGGAAAAAGCACGGGCGAACTTTTTCAAAGCCCAAAAGACGATGATTGAACAAGCTAATCGCCATAGGCGGCCTTCCCCCATCCGCACTGGTGACTATGTCTGGGTAGCCAATTCTGAGTTGTCGAGGGAGGAGGATATCTCCCCCAAGCTGTTACCTCGTTACCTGGGTCCATGGCAGGTCTTAGATACAGTGGGCACTGATCCGTTTGACCCGTCGTATGTCATAGACGTTCCGCTGCATCTGCAGACCTACCCGGTCTTCCATGCATCTAAGCTGCTCCCATTCACCCCAGCTGATGCATTCCCAGACCGGCCCCCTCAATTTGGGCCACCGATCCCTGGTAAGGGATATGACGTGGAATCTATTGAGGACGAGTGGGGCACTGACCCCGATCGGCAGTACCTTGTGAGGTTTGCCTTCCAACCTCCTACTGAGAACATATGGTTCTACAAAAGGGAACTCCTCAAGACAGCAAAGTCGATTGTTTTGCGGTATGAAGCGGCTCAGAAGGGCAACCTTCCCCGCCGCTCACCTCGTCTGCATCCCTAGCTCGGAGGTCCTCGCTCCCCGGGGTAAGCCTGCAATGACTTGCTGATTTTGACTGCCGAGACTGACTGCGAGGCTATACAGTAACAGCGGTAGGGTAGATTAGTAATTTTGTTTGGCTGAGGGCTAATCGAGAGACCTACCTGTACGGAAAATTCGCGAGGGACATATCTGCAAATATGGGAAATATAGGCTCAACACTAACTCGAATTTCCTACAGCTACCCCCACTGCGTCTAGCAGGCCCGGGCTACCCCTAGGACGGATAGGCCCGAAGGGCCTACACCGATAGATGGTCCTATAGCCTCTAGCCGGGTAGGGAGAGGCCGAGAGGCCGAAACTGGAATGGTACTGGTCGGTCCAGTCAGTCGGGTCTAGGTTTAGGCTAGGGTAGTGTAGATATATTAATAGTTTAGGAAAAATGATTCGGGACTTTTGGATGTTCATTCTCGCGAAGCAGCGTTTGGAGAAGCCAAGCAAGTTGATGGTGGTGATTGTCCACGGGCGGCATCCTGAGACCCTCGCCGTGGACGGCAAGGTTGCCAAAGCTGGGGCATCCTCAGCGCATCTAACCCTGAGGGTATCTGCGCCTCGCAGGGCTATATTGAGGCTCCTCACTGAGTATTCGTGGGTGGCGGCAGCCATAGTTGCCTGTTTCTTTGCCAGAGTTGTTCACTAACACTGAAAACTTCAGCGCAGGATCTGTTCCTCATCTGGGTGGTTGGCGCTGGCCTCTGGGAGGCCATTTCGGTGTGGCGCTACTGACAGGGTGTAGGGTAGAGAGTGGAGTGTGGGGATCTGAAAGTAGCGAGATACTGAAACAAAATCTGTGACGATATTTGGTTTTAATTGGCTCATCATCAGTGTGAATTCCAATTGTTATCCTCGCAGGTGTCTTCCTGTGGTTGGTTGTTGGGAGTCTGTGAGAGAGTGAGAAACCCAGGGTGTTTTCTCCCCATCTGTGCATGATTGAACTTTCGCTGTCTACTCTGATCTGCTCTGTGTACAGTTGGACTCTGTCTCCTCTCCCCCTTCTCTTATGCATGTATGGGCGTGTATGAGACTGTCTGTGTGTGAGTGGCGGTAAAAATCGTTAGACAACCAAGTTCATAATAACTGAACCAGAATCAATGTCCGAATCCCACTTCTACTGCAGGCACAACATGAGGTCCACCATAGCCATGACCACCCTTCCTCTTCCTCTGCATAGAGGCCGAGGCTATGGCGGAGTACTGAGGGCTCTCTCTCCTGTCCAAAGGACAACGCAAAGCGGCTATGTCGCTGCCCCTTCTGTCCCAAGGTCAACACCATGCAGCTATACCGCTGCCCACCCAACCGCCATGCCTGACTCTGTCCCGAGCTTCCTTGATGCGGCACTACCCCCACTGGGGCCTTCCAGATGCAGCGCCTAACAAGGTGATGAAGATGGTGTCTACCATAGCCGGGTAAGT